TACTGGATTTTACTGGAAATTAGTAAAAAAACGCAACTAACGTTGCCGCAAGAACTATAGCGGTTAGTAGGACTGTTGCGATAAGTACAAGAAAGGGATGAGTGTTTGTGATGGCAGTATTGTCGAGATGCGATTGCCGTACATATTATGCTTGTTAATATTTTACGAAAACATCGTCTGATTTGTACATTTAGGGTCTTTTAGGCAACATCATATAAAACAGCTATGAAATAAATTCTTTTCAAAATTTAAATATATATTATAGCGAAGGTTTCATGTATCGAATCGGTATCGGGTACCGAAAAGGAAGTATTGNTAATTCAGCACATCACTATATTTCAGATCCAACCACAATTAATGAAGCCGGGCTATAGTTTTTGACACAGTATACTGTGGTTTTTGATCTAATTTGTTTTGTAATATATTTTTTGATTTTGTGGCGGAAATTATAACATTAAACACTGCATCATGGATACAAGTGTGAATACGTTCTTCGTATCGGAGAAAATATCAAAAATTCGCTGGTTGCCGGAGAAGTTGGAAGCAGCAGAACGTATCCTCACTGGAAGTTGGGAGATGCCCGCTAATTTTGTGCGTTTATGGCGATTACAGCAGAATCAATACGCTGATGACTACAACGAGTTTGTCCCGCGTTGTTGTGACAAACAACCCTTCAATGGTGATGTTACCGGGCTTGAATTTATTGCAAATGATTTGGCTGTAGTTAGCTGCGCTGATGGTAAGCCGTTGTTTAATAGTTGCGCTTTTGCAATATAATTCATTACATATTACATAGGACGTATTACAATACTGCATGTTACACGCGCCGTTGAGGATGATGTCTTAAAACAGAAAGCGCAAAGTGATGTACTTCACAAATTTGAAGCAAGTGGCGCTGCGGCTCCTTGTACAGCAATATCTGCATACGAAAAGGAAATTGCCACTGTAGGTGAGGATGGTCGCTTGAATATTGTTGATGCTAATGATGTGCATAAAGTGCGACGCACCATTGAGGCAGACAGCATAGCGCTGACTGCTTTAAAATACGTCAATCCTCGTGAGGTGCTAACAGCAAATCGTATGGGTGTCATTCGAATGTTCGATGTACGTGCCTCAGCCGATGAAGTAGCTGTCACAGCTTTTATGACTTCATGTGAAGAGGAAAGACGTTCAAATTATGTATCCGCGATCACTTCGCATCCAACACAACCGCATATTGTACTAGCTGGATCAGAGGAGGGCTCCATAACCGTATGGGATCTACGACAACCAGGGTTTCCAGCATCATATTTGAGTGCACATACCAGTGCTATAACTGAAATTGGTTTCCACCATAGAGAACCTTCCAAGCTCTTTACTGCTGCGGAAGGTGGCGAGTTGTGGTTGTGGAAGCAACAGTCGAGTACGGGTATTACTGATATGGAAGCATCTGCAGCGGAACACTGTAACCCTTGGTTAAATGGGGAGCGTGCTAAAAGCCGAATAAATGTTACATCATTAATTTCAAATTTGCGAAAATCTATTAACACCTTCGATGCAAGTGGCTCAAAGATAATTTGTGGCAGCGATAGCGAAGCAATTTATTTTATTGATAGTATATATTAAATGTTATGTTAAAATAATATGTAGTTGATATTAAATGAGGTACCTAAGTTTTTGTAAACGATATACATATTTTATTAATTCAACTCGTAAATTGGTGTTTAAAACAGAAGTTTAAAGATTGTTTCGCTTTCTGAAGGATAGAGTTGGTTTAGTGTGGTTGTAACAGCATACGAATTCCCCAAAGAGTTTTTGGCGAATGATGCTGGAATGACAGCCCTTGGCCAAATATGAATCGGGATGTTCCGCCTACGTAGCCCTGACTGTCGTGAGAAAGTCTCTAAGATTGTATATCCGGTTCGTGACTTTTCTTAGTTAAGACACAAACAAATTACGTACATGCAACCGATTTGAAAGTTTACAACGGAAATTAGCTTTTAAAGTTACTAGAATTATCCGAAGAAGCTTTTAACAAGTTGAAATCATTGTGATATCTTTTTAACCGACTTCCAAAAAAGGAGGAGGTTTTCAGTTCGTCGGATTTTTTTTATATTTTTTTTTATGTATGTTACCGCATAACTTTGGACCA